AGTTGTACTTTTTCAAGTTTTTCTACATCAGATAAAGAGCAGCCATCCCAGACAATTGAGGCGTATTCAAGTGTTGGTCTTATAAATGTTGTATACAGTAGGGAAAGATTTTTCCTACCTATTGAAAATTTTAATTTCTTTAATAGCCCCAATTTTCTATATGCATTATTTACAATACTATCAATATACTCAGACCAGCTAAGATTTTGTGACAATAAAATACCCAAGTGGAGATGCACCGATACATACTCCAGTGTATTGCCTTGGAAATACAAATTTGGTAAAACTGATCTATTTTTTAAGGAAAAAAATACAACCTTTGTTTTTGATGGATTAAATCTTAAAAGCCATTTACTCGACCATTTATCTAAAACATTAAGATCACGGTTTAACGTGTATTCTATATCTAATAAATTAAATAATGCATGTTGTAGTGAATTGTCATCAGCAAATAATCTACACATTGAAAGCATATTTTCAGCAACATCATTAATATATATCAAAAATAAAAGAGGACCTAGAACTGAGCCTTGAGGCACACCTGCATATATATTGAGGTTCGATGATAGAAGATCTTTATACATAACTTTTTGTGATCTATTTCTCAAGTAACTAGTAAACCATTGTAAAAGATCGCCAGATATTCCATACGTTTGCAATTTGAAAAGAAGACCCTTGTGCCATACTCTGTCGAATGCTTTAGAGAGATCACAAAAAACCATACAACACGATTTTCCTTCATCTATGCTTTGTACAATACTATGAAAAGTTTCTAGAAGTTGGTACACAGTAGAGTGACCAGGTAAAAAGCCCGCTTGATATCGATAAAATAAACTGTTACAATGAAAATGATTATACACATGTTTGAAAATAATTCTCTCCATAATTTTGCTAACACAGCTTAACAATGATACAGGTCTATAATTAGACACTAACGAAGGATCATCTTTTTTAAAGAGAGGTAATACATGAGCTACTTTCCACATGGCTGGGAAAACATTCTCTGACAATGATTTATTAAATAACATAGCTAATGGTTTTGAAACAGTAGAAACAGTGTTTTTTAGCATTTTGTGACTGATACAGTCGGGACCTATAGCTTTATTAACAGGAAGTATAGAAATTATATCGACTACCTCTTGTTCATCAATTATGATATTACTTAGTTTGTCACTACATAAAGAGTACATTTCTGGTAGACTTTGTTTTGTATCGTTGATACAGGAGATGGATGAAAAATAACTGTTAAGCGCTTCTATCTTGTCGAGATCAGAAAAAACTAAGCTATTTTCGCCATTGCCGGTAGTAATTTGTAATGGAGGTATATCTTTGGATGATTTCACGTTAAATGCATCCTTCATTAGTTTCCAATATAATTTGTTGTTGTTTTTATTTGCATCTACTAGGTGCGTTTCTATATTGTCATAATAATTAGCTATAGCATACTTTTTCATGTTATTGAACGAGTTCCGAACTTTTTTGAATTCAGCCCAATCCGATTCTTTCTTCGTTCTTAATGCTTTGTTTCGTAGTCTATTTCTAAGTCTGAGAGTTTTACGCAGAATGGAGTCCATCCATGGTTTATCTCGTGGGCGAATAGTAATTGTTTTTTCACAGATGGATTGTCTAACACAAGAGATAAAATTATTTGAAAAATTGTCAGTAGCAACGTCGATATTATCGGCATCACTAATGTATATACTCCAATCACAATTTTGTATTAAAGAATTTAATTTGTGAAAGTCACCATTTTTATAATCCCATACTTTTCGTTTATAAGCTCGATTGTAATTTATATTCGAGGAAAGTGCAATTTTATTTCGTTAAAGTCGAAATTATTTCGAGTTTAATTCGTTATAACAAATTCAATAAATTCAATCCATAATTAATTCATAAACGCTTGAGTGGATCAGAAACCCTTGACTTTGGAAGATGAGTAAATTATTAAGTGACATAACTGCTGTCCTTGGTTAATGCCCAGGATGGCAAGGGGTATATAACCGTAAAGAAGCACGTGTTTTGCGTATTGTGTTCACAAGTAACAAAATTACATTAAATTTAGTATAAATTGAAAGTATAACTTAAAAAAAAAATTATTATATAGCTTGATTTTTATTTTTAAAAAAAAATAACAAAATAAAAAAGGACCTTAGACTAGGTTTTCTTGATGTGAGTGTTATTCTCTTTCTGACTGTTTGTATTTCGTCTGCACTTAAACTTCGGCTTTCATAAAGTGTGCAAGTCGGGTTTTTTTTTAGATTAATTTTTCGATGAACAAAATATTTTATATAGTAATCCTATAATGACTTTGACGTTATGAATTTGAATCTAATATTCTCAGTCTTGTATTATTTCCACTCTGGAATCCAATGATAACCATTTTTATTTATCTCAATGCCCATTGACCTTGAATATCACAGGAGTCAACTTTAGGACATTAGGTTATAGAGATCAACATGCTAAGAAATGAACGCAATCGAATCAAGACTTGCAGAGTTATGGCCCAGATAAGTCTTTGTGACAGACAACCATGTTAAAACCAATGTGTCCCCCATTGGTAGAGACATACAGACTAGACAGCACTTGACATATGCTACTTGCATTTAGCTGTCGCTATTTACAGACCTCGGGCAAAAAGGATATGCTTTAGCAGAACACAGTGGCGTTAATATACATGCAATCGAGTACTGATATACATTTGGACATTTCAAACAGGTCCCACTTCTGACACTGCAAAGTTCTTCTCACTTCTTTTAACGACAGACATGTCACTCTTACCTACCAAATATGCTTATAAGAGAATTTGGACGAAGAGGTACATACTATATTGCTTCTAGATAAGGGGGAGGCGGATGTTGACTTCGTGATCTGGAACTTTGACCTAGTTTTCAAAAATATTATCAACAATATCCCATGCACATTTTCAACTATGAGGGGCAGTGTCGTTTATATTTAGCATGAACAATTGGACAATGCTTGTCTCAAGCCCATTGTTACTGACCATGTGACCTAGAATCTGAAATTTGACCGATTTCTTTTAGCAATCAGTATCAGTATATCAAAAATATTATTTGGAATACTTAGGATGTGTATTGCTTGTTGATAGAATTGCCATAAGGTACTAGGCTTATAGATTTTGTGATCTAGAACTTGAGCCTTAATCTACTTACAAAAAGCAACTTTCCTTGTATCTGGTGAGGCGTTGGATGTCAGCGTTTCATATTTACCATGTTATTAGACTTTTCGAAAAGCACTAGGGTTACTAAACATGTTACTTTAACTTGACTTTTGACATACATGTACTTTTCAAATGAAAGTTTTCCTTATCCATTTTGAACCCTTAAAAAGTATGTCTAAAGAACGCCAATAGACTTACTGGAACTTTAGACCTTGAATTTGATTTATAAATTTAAATCGACTTTCAAAAACTAATTTTGCATCATATCTTTAAAGTTTTTAATCCCCAGAAGTCCGGTTTAATATCAAGATCTTGTGACCTTGATATTTTGACCTTGTTTTATTTTTCCGGCGAGAGGGATTCACTGCTGTTTTCATACTTTAGCAGCAATTGTCAGGGATTTTATTTTCAGCATGGCTTTTAGTCCTACAAGACCTTCAGAAAATAATGACCACTTTGTCACGTTGCCCTTGGGCTTGCTCTGACCTTCCTTTCAAATCTGGGATTAAAAAATGATCAGTCTTCATATCAATCCAAAACGAAAGATAAAATCAAGTTTGAGACAATCATATCCTCCTCAATATTGCTGTTGCAGGCGGCATATGAGTTCATTGGAACAATTCCTGACCGTTGATGTAGCATTGCATTGCACGATCAAGGTACATGGGTCCAATACGGTCAGCGCTAGAAATTGTTACAATATCCCCACACCAATGACTATTACTTCCTCTTGTTTCATAGTCGTCCAACTGTGTGGACTTCGGTTCTCCTTGTCATCCCACATACATGGCATGTATTTACAGATTTACATAAATTTACCTAATCCATTTTATACATATATGTGCCTAATACCAGATATTACAAACTCATTTAAAAAAATGAATTTTTCTATTGACTAAGGCACAATAAACGGCTGCTTGATAAAATTATAAGGTTATTTCGCACAAGTTCCTTGTCGAAATTATAATTAAAATCTGCAAAGCTCTAGAACGCGAATCATATTCAAGTATAGATTGCTTCAGCTTTTGTTTCACAGACTGTACACATGGATTATCCACTGATATACCGCACTATACTGTTCTGTCATTATATCAAAGATGGATTGATTCCTTGAATTTCTGATATAAGCTACAGAAAAATTCTATAATGAAATCTATATTTGCAATTTTTTTGTCCAAGACATACCGGTAGTTTCATAGAATGCAACATTGAACAAACGTATCAGTGTCTAATCAATACCTAATAAATTAGGTGCCTTAAAACTTTTTCCGAGTAGTATATGTTTCAGTTTTTGTTAAGTATATTATGTATTGTTGTACTGTATATATACATGTATTTCAAGATATGACATTTAGTCCTAAATTCGTTAAGTTACTTAAGTGTACATAATTTACTAAATTATACCCATGTACCAAATATAATCAAAATAGTTTTAGATGATTTGAAAATTTAATTTTATACTTTAAAATTCCAACAAAAACTATACATTGATAAACATAATCTACATGCATATTCTGCAAGAAAAACAAACAAACAAAAATACACCATGGCTAGAAACTAGAAAGGATGATACATGTATAACACCATAATTCCAAGACCGTTTTACAATCATGTCAAATTCCTAGAACAGCTAGAGATTTTAAAGTATTTACATGTATACCTACTACAGAAAACGTACGTTTGCCAATTTTCAGTTATTATGAAATTTTCTGTAAATATTTGTGAGAAAATATGCGTGTCAAAGAAAGTATTCCTCTTCAAACAAAACGAAAACAAAACTCGACGAAATATACCAGAGATCCAGTGATATAGATCTACTACAACAACTTTAACATTAAATTAAAAGAAAAATATTATGCAATGAATGGATTGCAAGATGTAGAAAGTCTTCACAAAGTTGAAACTATAAATCAAACAGGGGTTTATCGCCATAGTAACCAGCTGCTGCTTTAGCTCGGATTAAGTCCCCTGCGTATTTTATTTCATTGGAGAGTGGACCCACCGGAAGTTGGGGTTTGTTTGCTCTACTATCCCTGAAAGGTGACGGTTTGAATCTTTCTCCAATTGGAAGAGGGAGAAAGTTTTCCAGTGGTCCATTATAATCATAAACAGGTCTGTTTTTCCGTGCTTCTTGTATGATGCGTTGAAGTCTTTCCACCTCACGAATAGCGCTCTGTCGTGATGAATAAGGCCACCATGGGTCTGTGAAGAAATTTTCATACTAAACAAAAAATGCGATAATTGAATATTATTTACAATTGATGCTACCATAAACTGCCATGATATTTTCACTGAAAACTCAATTCATTAACACTATGTTTTTGTATATGAATATTTTCCAGATTTGCTGATAAGAATGTAATTCGCCTAATTACCTAAAGCCACTCTGTTTGTAAACTGTGGAAAACGAGTCTGTTGTCTTCTTATAAAATTAGTGGAAACATTGTTCACTAATCTTCTTTGTGTTCTTCTAAATGGTATGTTTCGATTCGTGTAGGGAAAGAGTGAGACAGTCTGTCCGGCGATGCATTCTACCAGGAGGAGTCTGAAATGATACAGTATTCTTATTAACCCAATAGCTAGGATAACTTGAATAGAGGAAGAGAGTTGTACATAAAGTTAATGAGTTGATGCTAGCCTGTTTTTTTGTTTTTTTTTTTTTTTAATTCTGTTACAAAAATACTTTTTAAATATCCAGAGACCTTCAAAGATGAATTCACATAAGATTATTATTAATTTATGACTTATTTATTTGGGAAGGATTCGATTTGCCATTTATTGTGTAAATAACTTAATGCGTTTGTTTGTTCTTGTTGATATTTATTATTTTATTCTATTACGGTATAATTCAGGTCATTGATTACATTTACGTATTTATTTTTATGCACTGTTAACTTGTCTCGGGTCTTATAAAATGCAAGTGAAACATGTAATTGTATAGTTCCTATGTTTGAAACAATAAATTGTTTTGAAGGTTTCTAAAGTAATTAAGTGACTAATGACATCATACATTCTTACATTGATGAATACCAGGTGTGGTGTGTACTGCTTATCGATGGCTACTCATTCGTCTTGTTGCGATCTAAATGTCCTCTACAAACCTCAATGGTTTCCTGGTATTAGCTAATATAGATTCCCCTACACCGATTTTCTTCCTTCTAGAGATGTGTGTGTCTTTGTGTTCAGTTAAATGGTCTAGTGACCTTGCTTAAATTCAGGGCTTGGAACATTAATTCCCATATGCACCAATCTCCTTGAACTCAATTTATCAATTTTGTTTACAAGAAAAACAAAACCTGTATGTTTCTTCTTTTAAAAAAACTCGATTTTACATGGTAATCAATATTTTGAAGATTGTGTAGTAATTTTATGGGAAAATTAGAGGGTTTTGTGAACATATAATGTTATTATAACATTTATATATATGACTTGCATATTTCTTTGAAAAGCAGTTATTATATCATAGATTGAAGACTTATTAATCAACGTAAAATCATTTTTTTCGTTTCGTGGTACAAAGATGAACTTCAGAGCCGTTGGGTGGAGTTCATGGTAACAGGAACATTTTTTCAATTTGATTAATATATTATTTGAAAATGTATAAATATTAAAAATCAAGAAGGTTTATCAAAGGATAAATCGCTGTTTTTAGATGTGACACGAATTATTTCATATATGGATTTTTACTGACCATAAACGTTAAGAGCCAACTAACTACTAAATCTTCTGTGAAAAATGTGCATGCTAGGGTACCCCAGGGCTCTGTCCTTGGTCCTCTCTTATTTTTAATATATGTGAATGATGTAGCCGAAAACATGATATCTGATTGCAGACTATTTGCAGACGATAATTCTTTACAAAAAAGCTCGAGTGACGTGCGCCTCATTGAACATCATCTAAATCATGATTTAAAAATTCTGGATGAGTGGTCCAAAAAATGGATATTGAAATTTAATCCAAGTAAAACAAAAGTATTATTTTTCAGCTTAAAAAATACAAACCAGTTACCTGAATTATTTTTTGGAGACTGTCAGTTTGAATATGTATCACAACCTAAACATCTAGGAGTTATTTTTTCATCTAAATTAGGTTGGTCTGATTAGGTTGGTCTGGTTGGTCTGATTAGGTTGGTCTGATTACCTTGATAGTATTGTTAGTAAAGGCTGCAAAAAACTAGGACTTTAAAAAAAAACTTAAATTTTCAGTGTCTAGAGATACGTTATCCAAACTTTACATTTCCTTTATTCGACCACAACTTGAGTATGCATCTGAAGTTTGGTCAGGATGTTCGCTGGCAGATATTGATAAACTTGAAAAGCTTCAACTGGCCGTCGCAAGAATAGTGACAGGTCTTTCAGTATTAGCATCGAGAAACTCATTGTATATTGAAACAGGTTGGGAACCTCTTGTAATAAGAAGAGACAAAGCCAAACTTTTAACAATGTTTAAAATCCACAACAACCTAGCTCCTGATTACTTAAAAATAGGGATGTCAATTTTGTCAATAATTCGTATTCGAATATTCAATGAAAGTATTCGAATATATTCGAATATTCGATAAAATAAATAAAATCTGTTTTATTTTAAATATGCATCATCCTACTCTCATGAAAGGTTTAGCGTAGGTATACTTCCATCTGAAGTAAAATTGTATGAAGACTTTTGTATACGTAGGTGTAAAATAAGAAATTCCATTTTATATTTGTCATTGATTGAAATAAATAATTGATTAAAATGTAGAAAAGTATAATTTCAACAAATGAAACGTGTATTTATAGTAGTCCCACCTGAGGAACCAGTCGTCTCACAAAAGGTAAGATAGCCGTAACGGTATACTGTTCAGATTTCAATACGTGTAATAAATTACAATTATCTGCCTGATAAGAGATATGATTATAATCTTTGATACAATGTAAACAAATATTTCCATAGACAATTTTCCTAGGTAATTAACTATTTTCCCGATAATGAATATAAATTATGTACAACCCGAGATAATCAAGTAATTTACGCATTTATTCTGAAATTAAGCCCTTTACAATATTAATTACAGATTAATTCTATCGGACATTCATTCAATGATCAATTAATTTTATTTTGATAAGTATACTTTTCACGCCTTTCAGATATTCTTAGATTTCATTTGTTGTCCTCGATTCTTGATCCGATCGTATCTAACTAATAAAAACTATGAAAGTACGTTTTGTATTATACATAAAGCATTATTGTACAATTCTTTATAACACCTTACTCAAAACAAAATACATCTAATTTAGAAGATTTATAAGATAAGAAAGTAGTGAAAGAAATCAGTCGATGGAAATTGATCGCTAGTAAATTAAACAGGGATAATTCCAGCACTGTTCTAATCAAAATTTATTAATCACAGTACTTCTTTTTATGAAATCTGAAAAACACTGAATATTCGAATCTTAAATTCATATTCGAATATCAACTCATCGAATGAATATTCGAATGTTCGAATATTCGTTGCCATCCCTACTTAAAAAACATTGTACCTATGGTTAGAAACACTGTTTCAAATTACAATACTCGAAATTCATTTGATTATTCCTTACCAAAATGCAGGCTTGAATTATTCAACAAATCATTTGTCCCCGATACTATTCGCAAATTATGGAATTCACTGAGCAACGAAACAAGAGATATAACTTCAATAGGAATTTTTAAAAGAAAATTGAAGAATAATAATGATAGGCCTCCCTAGTATTTTTCATATGGCAGAAGGTATCTGAACATTTTACATACAAAATTAAGACACAGTTGTATTTTAAATTATGATCTGCATAGATGTAATATCATAACGAATCCAAATTGTTCATGTGGAATGAAAGAGGGTAGTCATCATTTTTTCTTTGTGTGTAGAAAATATTTCGAACCTAGACATTTAATGATGAATGCATTACTTGTAATTCATAATGTAAAAATGATTAATGTGCATAAATTGCTATGGGGAGATGATTCCTTATCTTCGCAGGAAAATGAAAAAAATATTTGGTATTGTTCAAAAATTTATTCAGGATACGGGTCGTTTTAATTAACACTTATTTGTATTATCTCTACAGAAATTACTATATTTTGATGATAATAACATTGTAATTATTATCACCATTATGATTAATTGATATTATTTCATTATTCATAAAACTATATATATATATATATATATATATATATATATATATATATATATATATATATATATATATATATATATATATATATATATATATATATATTATTGTAAATCTTTGTAAATGTTGTATGGCTATTCAGATTTTATGTATGGGAGAGGACTATCTAAGTTTTTAGAACTTGTGTCTAATCCCTTTGACATATTGTCAACAAAATATGTTCAAAACAAAAAAAAAAAAACTAAATTGTATGACAAAAGAAAACACCAGCTTTTCTATCGTCAGTTTTCCTTATTTATGTAGTAATATTCCGCTGTCACCTGCATATGGCATTTATGTCTCCCAACTTATTCGATACTCAAGAGCATGCTCCGAATACGATCAATTTTTAAACCGAGACAGGCTATTGATAGATAAGTTGATGTTAAAGGAATTTCAACAACCTCGTTTAATGTCAGAATTTCGAAAATTCTATGGTCGTTATAATGACCTTGTTCGCAAATGTAACCTATCACTGGGTCGTATTTTGATTAACATATTTCATACCAATTGTAAGGCCTTTGTCTTTATACTAAATTTGACCACGGATTACTCCGTCTACCTGATCAATACATAGGGCTCACGGCGGGTGTGACCGGTGGACAGGAGATGCTTACTCCTCCTGGGCACCTGATCTCACCTCTGAAATTTCTGGGGCTTCGTGTTTTATGCGCTATTCGCAGATTTGTATTGTTTGTATTGTTTATTTTTTTTTTTTATATCGATCACTCTTCTTTATCTTCACCTTTTTCATTAAGACATTTACGTAAATTTCATTCAGTTCGAACTTTTTCGAGACCGAGTTAAAATTCGTGGGAATTGTTTCTATACTCCCCATCGTCGCAATGAGGTCGTTCAAATAAATCAAGGAAACAGACTTTACTTACAACGTGTAAGTGTGATACTAATTTGTCAAAATTATCCATTCATTTTTTATGTTTTTTAGTATTTTCCGGGTTGTAGTGTACCATTGCTCCGAATTCTATCGTCGATCAGCGTGTGGTCACGGCCATCCATCAATATCTGACAGACAATTTTGTTCAATGTTATGTCCTAATTCTTCAAACTATTCTGATGTGTTTAAAATGAATGAGTATGATTTAATTGTTTTCATGTGGATGATCTGTTACCTGTAGTATAAAATACTTAATGCAGATTGATAGAGACAATGACTGAACATTGTTTAGTAGAGTAAGAAGTGTTAGTCGATTTTATTAGAGACCATAATCAATTTATTGCAGTTAAATTTTACGAGAGAGAGAAGGAGAGCGGTGACAGTATTTTAGTGTTACCTTTGCATACGACAAATTTAACAGTGAATAATAAAGCAATAAATTACAGCTGACAAATG